ACAAAAAAAATTTAAAAATAAATTAAATTAAAATTAAAGTGAAAACCTTACCCTAACCCCCCCAAACCTAACCCTTAACCTAACCCTAAACCTAACCCTAAACCTAACCCTTAACCTAACGCTAAACCTAACGCTAACCCTAAACCTAACCCTAAACCTAACCCTAACGCTTAACGTAACCCTTAACCTAACCCTAACCCTAAACCTAACCCTAACGCCTAACCCTAACCCTTAACCTAACCCTAACCCTAAACCTAACCCTTACCTTTATGTGAATCGGCTTGCTTTAATTTTATTTTAATTTTAATTTAATTTATTTTTAATTTTTTTTGTCGCGCTGCTGATGACGTCACGTACGTGCTTTAATCGGGCGCGCTTAATTGGACCGCGGTTTTGACGGGTCACATCAAATTGATGTAGATCTATGGAATTCAAGGTGGGTTGGACTTAGATCTCTCATGGATGCGAAGGGACTCAAGGCTGATGATGTGCTTGACCCCTTCCTCGGGCTCAGTTTGGTCATCTCCTACAAAATACCTTTTTTTGATTGTGTCACTGTATGGAGCGTTTCATCTCCACTACCCCTCAAGAAGCAAATATTTGTCAAACTCTCAGTGTCACGTTATCGTCACATGACATATGGTGACCTTTTTCCCCTTCACTAAACCAGGGATGGGCGTGGCCAGCATCCGGCCCATGGGCCGTGAGTTTGACACCCCTGATTTAGATGTTTATCGAAGAGTTTCCATGTGTAAATGATACCTGATTTTTTTCCCTGTTCCCACTTGTACATTAACTTACATGTTTTGTATCCTTTGTTTTAACTTACTGCTGTTTTATAACTATAAATTTGTTTCTTAAAACACTTCGAGAGGTTTTACAGAAGGCAGCGTAACAGTGTTTTATGTTGAATGAAAAAAATAACATGGGATTAACATAACATTTAGCTCATGGTATCACACCTGATTAAATATTTTTCCCAAGAATACTTGATAATGGTATAGGAACCTTTTCTTAAGAATAAAGGTTCTGCTTTGTGCTTCATATATTTGGAAACAAAAAAGCTTACTTCTTTATTCTGAAAGCAGCTGTCTAGCAAAGTGTAAATATTATGTAAGTGTTTAATAGTGTGGTTTCTTATCCTTTTTGTAGTTGACCACAGCCGAATTAAGCTGGAACAAGGTGACAATGATTATGTCAATGCAAGTTTGATAAAAATGGTGGAGGCAAACAGAAGTTATATCCTTACACAGGTAAGAGCTTTAAGAGAATAATAGAAGTCTTTCTTTCCTGTTTTTTTTTAAATCTTGGAGATCACAGCTGGTAACTGTATGGGGAAACAAGTGAAATCCTTTACCTCCACCCATCATGCAGTTATATGCAATAGGTGTAGTATGCTGTTCTGCCCTTTCCACCTCCCCAGTTCCTATAATGCTGCTTTATTGTGGTGAGGAGGGAGGGTGTTTCTGAGAGAGATGAGCAAAGAACAACAGGTGTATATGACAAGACTATATATTCCCAGCAGGATCGCCTGTGGTGTGAAGGTCCTCCTAGCTAAATCAAGCAGGCACTGATATTGGGAAATAGTGATGCTGCAGGCAGATGATGACTTTAGTGAAAACATCAAAGGTATCATTTCATACTGTGGAGAAAGCAATGATAAACCCTTCCTGTATTTTACCAAGACACTGCATGGATAGAAAATCATTATATCATGATTGACAGCAAAGTCCTTCAAGTCAGATAGGACAAAACTTTACTAAGGAAGAGTTGGATATCTTTTAGAATGCTAATAGTGTTTATGATATGGCTAGATTAAAGCCTTAAGGACATTAGTTGCTGACATAGGTAGTTTTCAACTTATAGTCATAATGGGGTCTACCTGTTATAATGTTATGACAGTTGTAATCATGTGATTGTCCCAATTTTACAGTCTTTTTTGTGGCAGTTGTTAATGCCATGGTTGTTTAAGCAAATTTATTGTTCGCAGTGGGGCATGTTTGCTGAAAATTGAGAATAAATGCCAGTTTTTAGTAAAAAAAACATTGTAAATGCCAGTCTCATGGCCATGAAACACTGCAAATGGCCGTAAATATGAGTTGCTAAGCTCTTAAAATGTGGTCACATATTTCCACACTTTATAGTTTAACTAGCATGGAAGTATAGAGTTCTAGCTAAAAGAATTGACCTTAAACTGCTAATCCTTTCCTCATTAGCTCTCAGAATTACATGTTTTGTGGCAGTACGGGCAATACCTGGGGAAGACTTCTTGGATAACTCTTAGGACAATGTTGTCTAGGGATTAAGGGCCTTTAGATCCAACACATCTGGAGGACACTAATCTTCGGAATGCTAATCTAGCATATGGCCTATTGTTATTAAGACAGAATCAAGCCATCTACTCCTGAAATAGCACGCTGTAGGAAGTGGTGTGCCACACCCTTCCTGTTGGTTGTTGATCACATCATTTTCTCTTTCCAAAGCTGCTTCCTTTGATAAAATCTTGTCCCCTTAGGTACTTTAAATTATTCATCTGTTCATTTGGCTCTGCTTCAGCACTTTTTCTTTAATTTATTGGATCTGAGCTGTTGAAGATGATTAACATAGGGTTTATCTTCTGGTTGTTGTTTTTTTAAAGAAATCTGTATTATATAACAGATATCTCAAAATACTAAGAAGCCACTGGGCACAAATTGAGGAAGCTGTTATTTAGTTTCATATATTATTAAATGTAAGAGCATGAAAATTTCAGTACAGAATCTTTATAAAAATAGCTCTATAGACAACATTTCAAAGTTCAAGAATCAGCACCAAAATGCTATCTCACAAAACTAACATTTAGCTGGAGATCCTTTGTACAGTAAGTTAGGTCACCCATAATAATTCAGGTTCTTCAACTGAATGGCAGGAGCCTTAGTAGAATCTGGTCAGCACTGTTTGAGTCCACAATTTCCATCATCCCATTAAGCTGCAACGATTTGAGTTTTAGCCCCAAAGTTCTCATTGATACTAAGTTGCTTGCTCCTGATTTTGATTAAGAGGGAAGATAGTAGATAGGACAATAAGTGAGAGAAAAGCAAATCAGTGTATTATATTATATTATAACCAGTGAGAGCAATGGATCACTTTTGTGAGTGATCAAATCTTTATTACAGTCATAGGCCAGTATAGAGATAGATAGATAGATAGATAGATAGATAGATAGATAGATAGATAGATAGATAGATAGATAGATAGATAGATAGATAGATAGATAGATANGATAGATAGATAGATAGATAGATAGATAGATAGATAGATAGATAGATAGATAGATAGATAGATAGATAGATAGATAGATAGATAGATAGATACAAAAGACAACATACATTTGACATTCTAAGTGTTATTTGTAAATTAATCAAATGAATTACAACCATTTTCTATAAACTGTTGGGTATTTTCAATGTAAGGGTTACAGAACATACCAGGCTTACAGGAGCAAGACTTATCTTTGGTTTTTTTTTGCTATTGTTTAAATTTTGGTCAATTTTGTATACTTAGGCACAGTGCAGTGTAGCTTAATTTGATGGAAAAACAAGAGCCTTTGACTTAGGAGAGGATTACCTTAAAAGTGATGGGGTAAACATCTAGTAGGAAAAGTAAACTGTCTCTGATTTTCTTGGTCAGGCCAAGAACAGTTAAAAATTATTGAACTTCCTACTCATGTGTTTTAATGATTGCTCATCCCAGCAAATCGGAAGTTACACTAACTTAGGGGTCCCCAAACTTGGCAACTTTAAGACTTGTGGACTTCAAGTCTTCAATATTTGAAGTCCACAAGTCTTAAAGTTGCCAAGTTTGAAGACCTCTGCACTAACTACGGAATAGAGGTTATCCTGCTGAGTGAACTTTTTGCCTTAAGAACTTTCCTGTCCCATCTTCCTTGCCTTCAGACATTGTGGGTGCTTCAATAGTGGAGGTTTTTAAGAAGAGATTGGACAACCATTTCTCTGAAATGATATACTCTCCTGCTTGAGCAGTCTCGTCCAATTCTGTTATTCTATTATTCTGTGATTCCTTCTGAAAGATAGGATTAAATATTCTTGTCTATTTGTACAAAAAGCTTTGACCTAGGCATGGTTAAATATTACAATCTGGCAGCTTCAAAACAAAGCTAACTAGCTTGCAATTGCTTGTTTGTTGTGCTTCTAAATTGGCCGAATCTGGATGCCGGATTTTACATACCTAGAAATGGAAGCCACAAGGTGTCGTATTTAGAATAACTCAATACCAATTTCATTGTATTTAAGTACAATGACAATAAAGATTATACTTAATAAGTATTGTTTGATCATAGTACTCAGAAATTTGTGCCCTATGAATACTGCTCTTTCTTGAAAGTTCAGTATCTTTTTCAGGGACCGCTTCCAAATACTTGTGGTCACTTTTGGGAGATGATTTGGGAACAGAAAAGCCGTGGTGTTGTCATGCTTAACAGAGTGATGGAAAAGGGATCAGTAAGTATATATAATTTTTAACTCCTTTGGGATCATGGGTATGTAATATATGTACATTTTAAAAAATTAAATAGTCTAATGTTTCTAATCTAGGAAAAATATTTTTTTTTAAAAAATCACCCCACAAAGAATTTTTCTAAAGTAAAAGAAGTGTTCTTTAAGCAGAATGAAAATACAATAATATCTTTCAATCTTTAAGTTTGCCCTGTAAACTCAATTATGTTTAGTAGCCTTGTTTTTTTTTAAGCAAAGCAGCCTGAAAATTCAGTGCAGCATTAAAAAAAAGTTTCTTAATCACCAGCACCAAATTTTCAACAAATACTATATTTTAAGCCTTTCCCCAAAATCACTATTTGCATGTGTTTATTTTGGTTCATGTAAATGTACCTAAATATTATTGCTTTGCGCCAGCAAAGAAGTGTTTGATCTAATTGATTTTCATAGTGAGGCATCGTTTCTGCTTTTCTAGTCACTTGAAATATATTAAGATTCTACGGAACTGACTAATGTAACTAGGATGCAACAAACTGAACTAGCTCTTTTATAGTCTTCTTTCATTATGTAATGAAAATCAAGACCTTACAAAGAATTATTTGACATAGTTCATCCTCTTTCAGGAGCTTTATTTTAATGTTTATAGCAGTTGTGTGTAAGACCTCTTGGGAAAGGAGATTTCAAGCCAAGAATGTTCACCACCTACTTTTTAGTATGGAAGCCAATATCTGACATGCAGTTTGATGGTACTTGGCACTGGAAGTTCTCAGTAGCATGTGTTTTCGATAGACTCTTTTTAGGTCTGTATGAAAGCTTACTTCAAGTAGAAGTAAGTATTATGAGGAGCAATAGCTTTCAGTGTCATAAATCCAAGGAACGGTGGCATTTTTCAAAAGCTCATTCTAGAAATCGTTCAATAAGAACAGTAATAATGAAAGCAGCTATTCAATCCCTAACTGTCCTAAAGGATAGAAGAGCCATCTGAAATTACAGAAGAGCCACTACCAATTAATGTGCAATAGACTATATTGAAGAGGACGTAGTGGCTCAGCGGCTAAGATGCTGAGCTTGTCAGTCAAAAAGATCAGCAGTTCAGTGGTTCGAATCCCTAATGCCACGTAACAGAGTGAGCTCCCGTTATTTGTCCCAACTTCTGCCAAGCTAACAGTTTGAAAGCATGTAAAAAATACAAGTAGAAAAATAGGGACCACTTTGGTAGGAAGGTAATAGTGCTCCGTGCGCCTTCGGTGTTTAGTCATGCTGGCCAATGACCACAGAGACGTCTTTGGATAGCGCTGGCTCTTCGGCTTTGAAATGAAGATAAGCACTGCCCCCTACAGGCGGGAATGATTAGCACATATGTATGAGGGGAACCTTTACGTCGTACCTAGAGTAAAGTAAAAATTGACGCCATATGGCAACATTCTATGTTCTTTAAAGACAATTTATCTTCTGTTCTGGAATACCTCTCTTCTCACGGCAAGACATAGTAATTGAAAATGTTGACTATGTTATAGTTGCCTGAAATGACCATGCAGCAAATATGCACAGGCATGCAAAGATTCCTTAAGTTGATAAGGAAAATGCTCCCTTTAAAATAAATTCAGAAGGTGTATTGCATAGCTGATGATAACTTTCTTCGCATTCCTTTTCCTAATGGTCATCATCTCCCCATATTTTTCATATTGAATGCCTGCCTATAGATAATCTTTATAAAGAAAAAAAAATAGTTCAAGATTAAATACATTAAATACATTTTATACGCTTATTGTTTATTGCATAATGGAATTTTATATCTCAGATATTAGTATCCGTATGCAAATGGCCAATTACATAATTTCTAAACAGTCTGAAAATTGTTCAAGACACTTGCAGAAAAGCCAGTTAATGGTAGAGCATGTTTGGTTAACTTCACTGCACACAATCCAGCCCATACCTGTACATTTCCAGATTAAAAAATTGGCAGATACTTTTTATTAGCAGAAATGATTCGTGAAGCTGATTGCCTAACATTTCATGAAGTCGTACAAATACCCAAACTTCAAAACACTACTACATTTTTTTAAAAAAAATGGCAAACACATATTATAAATATGTTAAAAATTGTGCAGAACATGTCACAATTTATACTAAAAGCTTGGGGGACAAGATTAAATTCATGAGTGAGCCACTTAGTTGTCATGCAAGTCAATTAGTATAGGTGTTCCTAAAATCATCATGTATGGTGCTGGGCTTCATCCTGAAAACATCTAGGACTACCAGTCTTTCTCCTTCAAACATTGGTTAGTTTGCCATTTCAAAAGAATGACCTCGGTGGTGTTCTTGGAATGTTGCATCTCTGGACCTCTTTAAAGTAGACAATGAACCAGATTCCTTCTGAAGTGTAGGAAAGAATTCCCTCAACCTACATGATTCTTTAAAGAGCCAGTTTGATGAAGTGGTTAAAGTATAGAGCTAGACATGGGAGATCATGAGTTCAAGTGCTTTTGACAGGAAGCCAGCTGGGTGATCTTGGACAATCAATCTCTCTCAGCCCTAGAAAGAAAGTAATAGTAAACCACTTCTGAAATCTTGCCCCCCAAAATCACAGGAACTTGTTCGTTTGCAAACAATAAAAGCACAGTGTGTATGTGTGTGTGTGTCTGTCTCTCTCTCTCTCTCTCTCTGTGTGTGTGTTATATTTGTGCTGATAAATAAATAAAGGGAGACTAGTATAGATCTATTTCAAGCTATTTAGCTCTTATCAGCTAGCCAATATAGTCTATTGGGTTTNATATGCTGACTCTGTAAACCGCTTAGAGAAGGCTGAAAGCCCTATGAAGCGGTATATAAGTCTAACTGCTATTGCTAATCTTAAAAACTGTCATTATTTGGAAATTATGCACAGCAACTCTTAAGAGCAAACAGAATCATATATGATGATAAGCCACTAGCTCTCAGTGATTTTTTTGAGCTATCAGTTCAAATCAGGCTGTAATATGCACAAATCTTCGCATATACCAATGTCTTCTTTTATTTCCCTCTAGGAAATCAAACATGAAGCCAGTGACTTTCCATGTAAAATGGCCAAACATCCAAAAAACAAAAATCGCAACAGGTACAGAGATGTCAGCCCCTGTAAGTATTGTGACCTTCTCAATTTACTTACAAAAACTATAGCATTGTTGTTAGTTTCTCCACAAAATGGCAACTGCCGTAGGGGTGCCCGGCATTTCACCGAGCATCGTCATCCCGTCCTCACCGCATCCAGTGAGTTGCTTCTTCCGCCAACACACCCTCGATAACTGCTATGCTGGCCATCCTTACTGCTCCGGCCATGGCAGCGCTACCTCCTCCTCCTCCTCCCACACTGGCGACATCTTTTCCCGGTGGTCATGTGGTCTGGCTCCACCTGGTGGTGCTGGCCTTTATCGTGGACAGCTTTGAGAGGCACAATGAGGGTGCGGCCCGCGTTATCGGCACGTTGCTCGGCACAGTTGACAACCAATTTCGTCGTATTTATTTTGTACAATGACAATAAAGGCTATATAATAATATATGAAGATTCTCAGTCAGCCAGGTAGAATTGTCTGGAAGTTGTGTCGTGGCAATTAGATAGAAGTCCTGTTGCTGTGACTCAACTTTTAGATATAAAATTATTATTTTTCTAATATAATTTTTCAAAAACTCAAAGGAATGGGGTTTTTCAAATGTAATGCCAATCTAGGAATTAGCATTACAATACAGGTAATCCTTGACTTACAACAGTTCATTTAGTGACTGTTCAATGGCACTGAAAAAGTGGCATGACAATTTTTCACATTTATAACCGTTGCAGCATTTCCATGGTCACTTGATCAAAATTCAGTCACTGTCTCCTATTTATGATGGCTGTAGTATCACAGGGTCATGAGACCTTCTGACAAGGAAAATATAGAGAAACTAGATTCACTTAACAACTAAACAAAAAGGTTGTAAAATGGGGCATTAGTGCTTAGTGAGACATTGACAAATGTCTCACTAAGCAACAGAAATTTGGAGGTCAATTGTGTATGGAAGACATGTGCAACATTTTTAGGATTAGGTTAGGCTTTGCTTAATATGTGGGAGTTACTGAAATCCCCATTGAGTGAGATGTCAAATAAGTAGGGCCACCTCATGAAAATCTGTGGGCCAGGACTTTCTGAGCTAGAAGATTTTATTTTTCATTCCATTTTTTTGTTATGTTGAGCTTCTTTTAGGGAGCTAGAAGACTTTTTTTCACTGTATTTTTTGTTACGTTAAGCTTGTTTTAGGGCTTACGGTACAGCTCTTGTATTTCTTATTCCAAAATCTAGGAAACCTGGCAGCCAATTTTTTGCAATTATAGTCAGATGAGGTTCTGGGAATTGCAAATCAGGCCTTCTGAAAGAGCACTAGCCTGGAGTGAATTGTGTAATTGTAAAGAGTCATTTATATTCAGAGATTAGATAAGCTAAATCCTGTGTAGAAGAGTTTACACACCTGGATCATGGCTTGCTGCTCTGAATTATCTCATGGTGGAGCAGAAATACCACACAAAGAGCACAACGAAAAGAGACCAAAGACCAAAATGCGTATGAAATATGCAGGGCTTTGGAAAGGAGGCTGAATGGCCATCACTGTAAACGTGACAATTAAAAATCTTCAAATACTTCATAAAAATACCTTGGGATTATAATTAATTATGCACTAAATGTGAGTTGGCATTGTGATATGGTTGCAAAAAGATCAGTTTTAGATTGCATTAAAGGAAATATAGGTCCCACAAAACGGGAAACAATAGCTCCACTGTATCCTTCATTGGTCTGTTCCCACTTTGAGTCTTATAGCCATTTGTTGCACCACACTTTTAGGAAATATTTTGATAAAACGGAACAGATTCAGAAAAGAGCAATTAGGCTGATCAAGCAATTAAGAAATTGAAATCTATCAACAAGGAAACTAGAAATTTGTAACTTTGAAAAGATCCATAGGGGGTGCTTTCACTATCTGGAAGGGTGTTATGTAGAAATAGTGGTTATGACATATGGCACTTAACTCCAAAAGGAGGTGGGGGGGGGGAAGCTTACAAAAATGTTCTCATTAAATCATAAGAAATGAGTGTGGGTGGGAGATGGTGAAAGGGGATTTAAAAAACAAATATTTGTGGTTAAAATTTTGTCTCATATTCACATCACGGCCCTGGTTTTCTTTTGCATCTGCTCCATCTCCAAGTGCTACAGTCATCTACTCAGGAGTTTTGATTGTCATGTGTGCTACACATTCAGATTGCCAATCTGTTCTTCTCCATATGTTAGAAAATCTCTACAATCATTTAATAGACTAAAAATCTGTTGAGCCTTCCAGGAAAACTCAATACATACTATAGTGTTGCACATAATTTTGCTTACTGATCATTTCTAGAGATTCTTTTTATGGTAACCGCCATTGATTTTGTTTGTTTTAGATAAAATGGCTTCCAGTCAGTTTGGTTTTCCTGTAAAATGTAGGGATTCTTTTATATCTGATTGGGCTAAAGGGAACAAAGTTTAGATCTTTAAACTAGAGTGCAGTTACTGTCAGAGCGCTTTGAAGATTAATAATCGTTTGGTTGGGTTCTAAGAAATGTTAACTGAAATATGAACAATTTAGGTGAAGCAATTAAGTATTTTTATGATAGAGATTTCAGTTTCTCCTGAGAATGCAAGCAACAGTTTACGGAAAATATTATAAAATCTTGCATATAAGATAGTAACTTCTTCATTAGCATATCTTTATATTCTGTATTGTACTTGTTCTAAATAACATTATACACATTTTTTTTTTAAAAAAAGGTTAGAGGTTTTTCTACAATATTTCTAGAACTCGGGGTAGTTTTTATTGCTAGGCGCATCCATGGTTGGCTTCATCTGGTTTTCCTGGTTACAGGGAATTTAACTAATGTTAACCATGTGCTGATAATCCAACATTTAGCTTACTGTAAAGCATTCTACATGCGACTATTCATGTACCTGTTTGGGAAGCTGCAACTAGGGCAAATACAGCTTTTTTGTTTTTGAATTGACATGTTATATACATTCTGTGTTGAATTTAATTCTAATGACTATCTTGACTATTGGATTGGCTGCCATTTAACTGCTAAGCAGCATATAAAACCTCCAATAATTTGAAACTGAGGTACTCATTTTAAATCTGCAGGATAATAGATCGTTTGGGTATGAACGGGTGCAATAAATCTGGGAGCAACATGGTTCAAATGACTATAGGTTTATTGCGTTTATAGGTTTATAGTGAAAGCTCTCTGCAAGAATCTGAAGTATTCCATCCTTCATTGGTCTGATCCTCCTTTGAGTGTTATAACCATTTCTGGCACCACACTTTAGGAAATGTTTTAAATAAAATGGGCCAGGTTCAGAAAAGAGAAAATATATGACAATTTAGCAAATTATCAAATTGGGTTCCACCACAAAACCGCGGTAGACTAAAGCGCGCTCGACGAAAGCGCGTACGTGACGTCATCACAGCACGACGAAAACAGCACGCTGTGAGCGGTAAATTTAAAAATAATGCGTAAATCTAAACCTAACCCCCCCAAATCTAACCCTAANATATATATATATAAATATAAATATATATAACCACCCACCCACAGTGACAACACACAATTAAATAGACATTTGATGGGCAAAACATCAGGGCCTTATGAAAGACTGTCAAAGTGGGTGTCAGTTTAATTTCTTCAGGGATAGCAATAGCACTTAGCACTTTACAGCCCTCTCTAAGTTGTTTACAAAGTCAGCATATTTCCCCCAACAATTTGGGTCCTCGTTGTACCCACCTTGGAAGGATGAAAGGCTGAGTCAATCTTGAGCCTGGTGAGATTTGAACTGCCAAATTGCAGGTAGCCGGCAGGCAGCAGAAGTAGCCTGCAGTACTGCATTCTAACCACTGCACCACCACAACCCATATGTTGTTCCAAAGGGAGGGAGCCCTTATGGAGAAGGCCCTTCTTCTAGGTCCTGCCAGATGTATCTCCTTAGGGAACAGAACCTGCAGCATTCCTTGCCTCTCTGCTTTAGTGGGTGGGGTGGATGTGTCCGGCAAGAGACAATCCCTCGGATATACTCGTCCTTTCTGTAGTAATACAAGTAGTGAAAGATATCTAAAAGAAAAGTGCTCTGACTTCAACATTGCCCCAATGATCTTTATGTACTTTTCACCACTACTGGTAACTTTGAACAAAGTATGAAATTATAGAGAACTCTTTGGAGCAGGCTGCTAATGCCACTGAACAAATGGTGGGGTGGGACACTCAATGGATAGGAATCATTATTTGTCACCATGAGGTACAAAAATCATACATGCAGCGAATTCTCTCATATGTTGTAAGGAAAAATAAGTTCACAGGCGGTTATAATTTCCTACTATATCCAGCTGAACCGTGCTGTTCAGGTTGAAAGGAAGAAAAATGTTGTTCCCTCTAATAATGAATCAACTTTTTGAAAGCATTTCTTTTGTGAATCCCATTTGATTCTGTTCCATAAAAGACCTTCAGTATAATCATCCCACGCTTAATTATTTTTCATTGGTATTTAATGAGTATAATAATTAATGTCTTTGTTAGATGGTAGAAACAAAGGAAGAAAGAATAAGGTTCTTGCTCTGAAAATAGAGCACTAAAAATCCATGAGCAGTGAACATTTCCTTCTTAACTCCTGCTGAGTTATAATCGTAGCCAGAGAAATTATTTTGTCTTCTGCAGAATAACATTTAGCAAGGGCGTATTTTTTGTGACAAAAATGCATGCTACTTAGTGCAACCTAATTCCAGAAATTTCTAATAAGACTCCCTATTTTCCAGGATTAGATAGATAATTCTAGCATGTACATATCCTAATGATGCATTTCTTGGATTTCCTGGAAGATAATTTCTTTGAAAATTAGTATGATTAGTCAAAAGCTTAGGTAACGAGCAGCTCAGACTGCTTTTACAATAAACTATTGTAGTCTTTAAGCTATCCCATATGCCATCAGAATGACTTCATACAAAGTCATTTTGAAACCAGGTATCCTGGCTGTCTCTATTGCAACTTTTTCATTTAAATTGCTATTAAAACTTTGTGCCTGGGGTTGTCCAGGTGAACATCCAACTATTCTCCAAGGATCGTCCCTTAAATCACTTGGATAATTTTGTTGGCTTATATGTCTTATTGACATATTTTGTAATCCCAAAGTAGATCCAGAAACTTCAGAATCTATTGTCGAGCCAAATTATTGATATAGCAGTGGTGCGCTAAGTAGTTGCACAGTGTTAAGAAAAAATTGGGTCGTGGTGGCCCAGTGGTTAAGAAGCTGAGCTTGTCAATCAGAAAGGTCAGCAGTTTGAATCCCTATTGCCGCATAATGGAGAGAGCTCCCGTTACTTGTCTCAGCTTCTGCAACCTAACAGTTTGTAAAACGTGTAAAAATGCAAGTAGAAAAATAGAACCACCTTTGGTGAGAAGGTAACAGCGTTCCCGTGCGCCTTTGGTGTTTAGTCATGCCAGCCACATGACCACAGATACATCTTCGGACAGCGCTGGCTCTTTGGCTTTGAAACGGAGATGAGCACCGCCCCCTAGAGTCGGGAACGAGTAGGAAATATGTGCAAGGGGAATCTTTACCTTTTAAGGAAAAATTATTGGAATTTTTCTTGAGTTTAAGTAGTTACATCTCGGTTTGTTTCTATGTATGTCTAAATGAACATGCATATAAATGTACCCATCTGTGCAGAGCTATGCAGATTGAAAGTATAATCTTACAATGGTGTTCTTTGACTGTCATATATATATCGATGATTTGGTGAGCGTATTTATGTTTAGCTGTATTCATTCTATATTTCTCTTTGTTAAATAATTTGCATATAAGTCTTGTTCTGCTTTCTATCCTCCAGATAAAATGTGCACAATATTGGCCACAAAAAGAGGAGAAAGTAATGTTTTTTGAAGATACAAACTTCACATTGACCTTAATATCAGAAGATGTAAAATCCTATTATACAGTCCGACGATTAGAACTGAAGAACCTCATAGTGAGTATGATAAAAAAAAGTAATCGATGTGCTGTGTTTTGCAGTGTTGATTCTCTTTATTAAAATGGCTGATGTTTATCATCAATGCTTTAAGAATTTCCATAGTTGATATTAAAAGTCTTAAATTTGGTTTTGGATAGCATTTCATTTTAATTTTGAATATTGCTCATTTCCAGGATTATTATTCTATGATGTCTGCTGGGAATGGCACGATCACTATTCTGCTGTTAACTTCCTGCAACTTTGCATTTGTTAGGGGTTTTCCAAAACTTAACAGGATGCTTCCCACTTCCAAATTGCAAGAGAAGTCCATTTTTCCTCTTTAATTTATTAATTTACTTCACCCTTTACAGACACACGAAACACGGGAAATTCTGCATTTTCATTACACAACGTGGCCTGACTTTGGAGTCCCGGAATCTCCAGCTTCATTCCTCAACTTCCTGTTCAAAGTGAGAGAATCGGGGAGCCTGAATCCTGAGCACGGCCCCATTGTAGTGCATTGCAGTGCTGGAATTGGAAGATCAGGAACTTTTTGTCTGGTTGATACTTGTCTTCTCTTGGTAAGAATGGCTGGTAGGCACAGCAGGAATTTGGGTTGGTTATCCGGTTGATTCAACTGGGCTCAGGGCAAAATACCTTTCCAGGGACTTTTGCAATTTTGCTTTTGTTTTGATCACCATTATGCTTCTGCAGTAAAGGCTGCTGAATGCAGTAGGAATTGATATTGAGCCCAAGTTAGACACAGCATCATGAAATCTCCAGAATGGTAAAGCCTACAAACTTGAAATTCAGCATGTATGTTCCTTTTGGCTTCTAGGTGCTCGCTAAGAAAGGATTCTTTGAAATGACCATCAGATCATCAATATTTCTTGTTCTGACCCCCTCCTCCGTCCAGTAACGAAAGCCGAGATGAGCTTAATTAGAATGTCCTTTATAACAAGACTAGAATTTCGGTGGCTGAAAGCCAAGCAAATAAAAAGATAAGGACCTTGGCAGCAAGTCCGACAAACCTTGGCAGCAATCCAGCCTACCAAGTTAGTTACGTTCTCTTTAGTCAATCCGTTGACTTCTGCAAGAAGGGCGTGTCACAAGCAGTCTTTTTTATAGTCTGGAGAGGAGCCTAATGACCATCAGCTGAGTGCAATTACCTCCTGTAATTGTGTAATTGCTCCTGATGCCAAGTAGTTCTTCGATGGCGTGCATCCAGGAACAACTCACTGCTGGTTTCTGGATCACTCTCCCTTGTCTCCTCCCCACTGGTCCAAGGCTCAGGCCCCACCTGGTGGCCAACCAGTCTCTCTGCGCCCTGCCAGGGTCCTCCACATCCTCCAGGGCCGACTCATAGGGCCCCTCGCTGTCGGTTAGCTTCAACGGCTCCTGCTGGGCCACAACAATTTCTTATATTATTATTAACATGCTCTGGTGCTAAGGAGTTAGACGTTCTACTCCCCCTCCGCATCTGAAAAGAATTCTGTTCCAACTACCACTTGGGTGTGGGCTTGGCCAGCATGTGACTCATTTGGCTTGCGGGCCAGGAGTTTAAACATTCTACTCCCCTTCCCCACCTGAAAAACGCTCTGATGCTAAGGCGTTAGGCTGAGGGAGAGAAGGGGATAAGATAGGAGAGGCCTCTGTGGGGCAAGCCTGAGGGAGAGAAGGGGAGAGGAGAGGCCGATTGTAACTACTCATTAATTTTCAAGCTGTATCGATTTATCAAGCCGAATCACATAGTTTCATAGCGGAGCATGGGTTTCCAGCTAGTATTAAATAAACAGAAATATTGACATCTGCTTGCCAATTCTTACCACCCTTTCTTTCCCAACCCTGTTCCTCTCTTGTTCCAATAACAGTGTTTCTCTTGATTCAGGCAATGCTTGACATTATCTTCTTTTTTACTTTTGTCGCCTTAAATTCAAATCTGCTTTCAAATAATTCATGAACAGCTCTCCAGGACTCTCCAATGCCCTCCTACATCTAAGTACCAGCCTATTTAAAAGACTGGTGGGAAATCCATGCTATCCTAAGTCCATAGGACTTATTTGGAAGTACATCCTTCAACTTGTGAAAAAACATCTCAGCAACAACCCTCGCAACAACAACAGAATTACAATGCTAAGCATGTAATTGCATTTTGCCTAATACGTTCCTTAGATGCATTTCTGATCACAATGTATTCCATGCTGATATGATTACATGTCTAAAAGCAGGGACCTTGGATCTTTGTATCCTTGAAAGTTTAGTATTGCCCTTCTCTTCGTAAATTTCTAATTTCTAATCCTTGTGGCTGTAGGGATGAACTTGGCTAGGTTCACAGTTGCATGAAGCCATTTTTGGCTTAAGCATCATTTACTTAATACATCTTGGTTGGCCGGGTTTACAAATAACCATTTTGTGGTTTATTGTAGGGTGTGACTAAACGGCACGGCTGCAACAGTATTAGCAGAAGTAATAAGCATTATACTTTCAGTGCTTTGGGGAGAAGCAGAGTCAGTGAAATTTTTCTACCACCGGTTCTGTGGCTTGGTGGGGGGTAATGTGACTGGGTGGGCATGGCCAACTTATTTTTTACTTTTTAAAGCATTTTTAACTAGTAAAAAATGCTTTAAAAAATAAAAAAAAGGTTCCAATGATCAGCACCTGACCAACCTGACCCCCTATCGCCAAGCCAAACCCAACACTTCCCAGCCCCGAAGATCCATGCAGTCCGCCTTCCATGTGGCCTTCCGCTTGCCTGCTTTCGCAAGCTGGCCATGGGGATGCCAGGAAGGCCGCGTGGAAGTCAGCCAAGATGGCAGGGCTGTGGTCCGCAGGGAAGGGAGATGAGGAAGCAGGCTGGGATGGTGAAAAGCAGAGACTGGGTGGGGCAGGACGAGCGAGCGGCAAACAGGATGACCGGTTTGGGGCCGTGGCCAGCCAGTGGTCCCTACAGGTTCGGCAACCCAGACTCAATATCAGCTACTGGGCAGAGGTGGTATATTAAGTTGTAAATTTCCTGCACTGTATTCCCTTAATGTTTTCCCCACTTTATGTTTGGTGACTAATTTTGCCTTTTTTACATTATCAAGTAACTAAATAACATAAATTCAAAACATCTATAAAAAAGATAATGGAAAATATTTTTTTTAATAGACTAAAAAGTCAGACTAATGAACCTGAAACGATTCCAGAAGGAATTTAGGAATATCTGGGGGATTTACTGCACATCTGCTGAGGCTCTGGTTATGTCCTGGAACCAAAGGGCAACCAAGGCTTTGGATAGGATTGTGCCTCTTTTAACCCATTGCTCCAGATACTCTCCATGTTTCACAGGAGGAGCTGTGGCTTCCAAAAATGGCTAAGAGATGCCTAGAGTGCACCCATGGGACACGGTGGCTCAGTGGCTAATACACTGAGCTCGTCGATCAGAAAGATCGGCAGTTCGAATCCCTAGTGCTGCGTAATGAAGTGAGCTCCCGTTACTTGTCCCAGCTTCTGCCAACCTAGCAGTTCAAAAGCATGTAAAAATGCAAGTAGAAAAATAGGAACCACCTTTGGTGGGAAGGTAACAGCGTTCCGTGCGCCTTCGGTGTTAAGTCATGCCAGCCATATGACCACGGAGACGTCTTTGGACAGTGCTGGATCTTCGGCTTTGAAACGGAGATGAGCCCCTCACCCTAGAGTAGGGAACAACTAGCACATTCAAGGGGAACCTTTACCTTAGAGTGCCCCCTGGAGGAAAATGAGGGCTGAATCCAACCAGGCATGACTTAGAGCTACTATTAAAGCCTATCTTAAGGAGGTAAAAGTGGCGAAACAGCATTATTTCGCTGCTCTAATCGTAACTGCAGTGTCAGTAATGTTATTATTTGATGTTTTGTTGTTTTTTTAAAATTGGTTTTAATGATTGTAAGATGCCTAGCATCGCCCTCTAGCTAGATGGCCGGCACACCAGTTGAATAAGTAAATAAATAAGTAATGAACATACATGACATCCATGTGATTTTCTTGGTAAAAATACAGGAGTGGTTTACCATTGCCTTCTCCCACGCAGTACGAATTGATGCTTTTGGCATTGTCACGAAAATGTTGATCTGCCTCCAGTATCTTCCTTAATCTCTGTCTGCTTGCTTTAGCTGGGTGACCCTGCTGGGAATATATATTCTTGGCAAACACTTTCAGTGTTCTTCACTCATCTCTTCCTGGAACATTCCCCTACACACAGAGAGAGACACACACACAGACACACACACACATACACACACACCAGTGAAGCAGCGTAGGAGGACTTGGAAGAGGGCTAACACTGGGGAGTTTTCCATTCTTTATTTAGCGGTGATACTTATCTACCAGAAATTTTATCTCAAACATGAGATAAGAAAGGCAATATTTTTTGACAATCTTCTCTCCCACATTGGCAAACATAATTCTGATACATGAGTGCCAATCTAACTGGGCTCAAGTGCCATCAGTATATAATGTTTCCCTGCAGTTCTTAGGCTGAGGCTGAGTTGAATTTCTATAATTCTGCAAATTTGTCCCTTGTATGGCTTTACCAAGATTGGTATTCTCAAACTTCCTTTAATTCTTGGGGTGGATCACCTATTTTCTGATACCAGAAAAACCATGATAACGTATCACCTTTTCATTGTTGTATCTCATTCTATCTGTCTGTCTGTCTGTCTATCTGTCTGTCTATCTATCTATCTATCTATCTATCTA